TTAAAATAGCCTTTAACATCTAGTTATATACTCTATTACTACTACTATATATTAATAATAAGCTCTAGCAGTTATAAACCCTAAGTAATACTTTTAAATTTAAGTTATAATTAATGCTTATAAAAGTAAAGATTTAAAGGCATATAAATAGCTTACTAATGTCTATAGTAAAGGCTTTTAAGAAGGTCTTAAAAAGAGCAGTACTTATTATACATAAGCTAGTGTTAGCATAAAAGAAAATTATAAAGCTTTAAGCAGTAAATAAGGCTACTACATAATATAAATTACATAAAAAGAAGTAAATTTAGGTAAAAAAAACTTTAATAGTTAAGAATAAAGCTTATCTAACTACTTTAAAGGAGTTTAAAGCACATAGTAATAGGAAAAAGCTAAAGATGTAGGTGTACACTAAGAAAAGTAAGCTAAGTTAAAGGTAATATAAGTAGCGTAATTAGACTAGGCATAACTTATGTACATGTAAGTAAGTAGTAGAAGTAGACTCTAAATAATATCTTATGTTGTATTACTTTATACAGGGCTAAAGTGGGCTGTTTTGCGCTAGAATAGGGTGGTTTTAGTAGGGGCTTTGCAAAAGTGGCCGGCTAACCCGCGTGGCCGCCAACCTGTTAGGTATGTTACTAAAAGTAATGATATTATTAAACTTTTTAATTATTTTATATAGTTTACTAGTAAAGACACTCCTAGTTACTCTTTTACACTTAGTATTTTAAAGTAGTTACTTTACTTTATATAGTCTTTATTACTTAATATAATTAAGAATCTTAGCTAACGTACTTCACAGGCGAGTTGCTTACACACCTAAGTTGCTTACTTTTGCTAAGACCCTACTACACTACTCTTTCTACACTAATGCATTCCTAACAACACTACTTAAACGCGTTAAAAGAACATTAGATACATCCCCAGCTCCATACAGTAGTAGAGACAGTGCTTGTCATCACAACGCGCTAAGCATAATCTAGGCTATGTTAGCATAAACTAGCTTAGTATGTTTAAGAAGTGTTATCTAGAGCTTAAAGTACTATTTAAGCATAGTATAATGTTTGCAGTAATCACACGATAGTCGGATGCGTCGTCACCATGGTCGCATGCGTCGTCACCATGATCGGATGCGTCGTCATCATAGTCGTGTGCGTCGTCACCATGATCTGTTGCCAAGACTCACCCACTCATTTCGCATGTATATAGACTCCTACAAAGGACTCCTCTAGCAATACATACAATGCAGTTCCTCATGTCTATGGTGCCCCACATAGCTTCACATATAACTATAAGAGAGCCCTCTATAAGAGTTCTAGGGTAATTTAGGGCAGGTTTAGCCTTATAGAGAATATTAAAGCTAAGTACAGCATCTAAGATAATAACACGTACAACTTTAGCAAGATAGGCTTTATTATAAGCTAAATATCTATTAACTATACTTACACTTAAAACTTTACTTTTAAGCTTTAAATAACACTTTATAAACATACTAGGCTAGTTTATACTAATATAGCCTAGATTATACTTAGCGTGTAAAAAATTAGCTATATTAGCTATAAATGCTATTTAAGAGGAAAATGCTTATGTATATAGCTTAAGTATAGTCTTAATAATTACCTTCTTCTTATTATTACCTAGCCTCTGTAAGTTAGCTACAGAATTAGCTTATAAAGGTTATCTAGCGCTATAGTTATTTATTATCTTTTAAGAGACTCTATACATAGCTGCAGCATGTTTCTTTAAAAGTTTTATATTTTATTTAAAAGCTTAGAGTGTAAGCTATATCTAATGTTCTTTTAGCGCGTCTAAGTAGTGTTGTTAGAAATGCATTAGTGTAAAAAAAGTAGTTTAGTAGGGTCTTAGCAAAAGTAAACAACTTAGGTGTGTAAGCAACTTGCCTGTAAAGTACGTTACCTCTATATCTATTAGTTATTAGTTATCCTTTTTATATATTTAATTTAGTAGTACTTACAGCTAAAACTATAGCCTTAGTAATTTTATCCTTTTTAATTATATGTTTATATTTTAATATAAATATTTCTCGTTTTATTACTTCTGTCACGGTCGGCATGCTCAAGCTACAAGCAAGAAGTGGTGTAACTCAACTAGATTAAACTAAGGAGCAGAGGAGCTGCTCTGCGAGTTTAAATATACATGTGTGCCCCTTGCCAAGGCGCTACTCGTAGCACTAGCGTGCTACTCGTTGCGCAAGCGAGGGAGCTGATGCCGCAGAGCATGTGACGCGGTACGCGCCGTCACAACTTCTCTAATTTAGGGTAATAATCTATAGAAATAAGTTAGTACGCTTAGTATATTCCTAAGCTTATATCTTTTATATTAATGATATTGTTAAGCTATACTTGAAACTATCTCGATATTTAAGAGTTAAATTAAGGTAATATATTTCTCTATAGATATTAATAATGAACTTTTAGTCTTTTCTATAAAGTTATTCGTTTATGATAACTTTATAGGTAAAAGGAAAGTAGAACTTATTAGACCTTCTTATAGAACCCTATAGAGGCTTTATATAAAGACTTTTTCTTATTAGTAAAGTAGTTTGAAAAGCTAGAGGGCGACTTGAACTATATCTAGCTTTGTTTACTAGTCTATATAGGATTAATATATTTATTAACTGATACAAGATAGTTGTTATAATAGCTAGTAGTTTCAGTATAGCTAGATAGCTACCTTACCTTAAGAAACTAATATATAGGTATAATACTTGTATAACTAGAACTTAGCAAGTCTATCTAGTGTAGTAATTAGAAACGATTAGTAAGCCCCTAAATTTAATGTGTTTCACTACTCCTTAGGCTACCCTAATCCTTAGGCTTGTTAGATTGAAGCACTGTTTCTAGGCTTCCTGAGATGAATGATGGGTTTTAGATATGATGTATGGGATGATGATTGATTGTATTGATTGATCGATTTTTTCCTTCGCCTGCTCTGCTTGTGTTGCTCAGCTTTTGTTTTTCCAGTCCGAGTCCCTCGCGCACTAGCCCTATGCGCGACCAGCTTGCAACATGCTGCAATTTGATGCAAAATATTGCAAAATGCTGCAACATGCTGCAATTTGTTGCAAAATGCTGCAACATACAGCAATTTGCAGCAACATACTGTTCGAGCTTATTGCTCGTACTATGTAGCAGCTTTCGTCCAGCGTTCCTCCTGTCTTGACAGTAGGTGCGCATATCTGACAGGGCTACTGGAAAAACCACTAAAAATCCAGAAAATCGTGTCTTAATACCTTAGCAATGGCTTTATAATAAATTCTAAATTTTTATAATAAGTCTCTTATGTTTATTTTAAGATTTCTATTAGAGTTCTAGAGTAAGAACCCTAGCTATTATTATGATATGGAGTTTTTAGCCTCTAAATTAGCCTAAATTAGTCTAAATTACTATAACGTACCTAACGGGTTGGCCGGCCACACAGGTTGGCCGGCCACTTTTGCCAAGCCCCCACTAAAACCACCCTATTCTCTTGCAAAACAGCCCACTTTAGCCCTATATAAAGCAATACAACACAAGATATTATTTAAAGTCTACTTCTACTACTTACTTACACATACATAAGTTATGCCTAGTCTAATTACACTGCCTGCATTACCTTTAACTTAGCTTACCTTTTTTAGCGCACACCTACGTCTTTAGCTTCTTTCTATTACTACGCGCTCTAAACTTCTTTAGAGCAGTTAGATAAGCCTTATCCTTAACTATTAAAGTCTTTTCTACCTAAATCTGCTTCTTTTTATGCAATCTATGTTATGTAGTAGCCTTATTTGCTGCTTAAAGCTTTATAATCTTATAGCCTACTTTGTTATGTTAATGCTTTAGATAACTATTATCTACTTCTTATTACCTTACTATATTACCTTTAGCTGTCTTTGTCTCTCTAAAGCTATAATAACTGCTCTAGTTAATATCTAGCCTATTATAAAGCCTAACTTATTAAAGTTATACATGTTTTTATTCTAAATACTGTACTTAGCTTTTATGTTAGCTACTAGGTAAAACTAGCCCTAGATAACCTCTAGATCTTTGTAAAGTGCTCTTTTATAATTATACTTATAATTAAACTTTATTATAACCTTAGGGCAGTGCTTAACTTATATACTAGGCTAGTTTAAGCTAACCTAGCCTAAATTGCGCTCTACAGGCAAGGAATTAGCTATATTAGCTACAGCTATAAGCCTAGGGGGAAATCTGCGCGTAATAAGCTTAAGTATATACTTAACAACTACCTTTTTTTTAAGCTTAGTTAAATTCCTTAATTTAGGCTAGCATTCTACTTGTAAAGGCTGTCTAGCGCGTTAATTGCTTAGTGTTATGTAAAAGACATTATAGATAGCTGCAGCGTGTTGTAAGAAGAGTTTTAAGTCTTATTTAAAAGCCTAAAGAGCAAGCTGTATTTAACGTTCTTTAGAAGATTTAATCTAGTGTTGTTGTTAAGGCATTATGTAGATAGGTAGAGTTTAGTGGGGGCTTAGCAAAAGTGGCCGGCTAACCCGTGTGGCCGGCCAACCCGTTAGGTACGTTATCTCTAGAACTATATAATGAATTACTTTTAAAGTTAGGTAAGAGTCTTAAAATAGGCATAAAAGGTATGTTATGAAATTTTGGAATTTACTATCTAGTTGTTGTTGAGATATCAAGACACGATTGTCTTGATTTTTAGCGGTTTTTTTAGTGGCCCGAGGACTGGGGTGGCCCGAGTAGTGGTGAAACACGTTATCCTTTACGAAAACGTAACTTATATTAGTAGACATTAGAATTGTAGCATAATCCTACCTGAACGACGCTTTAACCGACGATCTTCTAGATAACGGCAATGTAAGCAACACAGATTATTTCGATAATATACGTACTGAAGAGAGCTAGATCCTCGGCATATCAACATATATTAAAATTGGGAAACTAGATAGTACCTCCTGGGGACGCCGTGCAGCGTAGTACAATAGGTCTGCAGATCTTTAGGCGATCTTATAAGACAAGATGTCAGGGAAGTACATTAAAAGGATGCAAGGTGAGGAACGAGGATCAATGCTAGTCATAAGTAAGATGTGCAACTAGACTCCATTGACAAACTACTAATGCCGTATAGCTTCGGCAACGGACGAAATGAGAGACAATCTACGGGAGATAGTCCGTGGTTATTTGACGGACAAAGTCCGCCTACTGGAACTTGAATACCAACCGGTGACATCGAAAAGCGTAGCATCAAAGGCCATGGAAAAGTCATGGCGGTAAGGAATGGGAAGGCAATGAACCGCGATAGTTAGCTTGATTGTTTGATTTGCCAGTCTTCGTAGGTAACTAAATAGTTCGATCTCAGAATTTAATGTGCAAGTCCATGTTCACTGCAAACTTTTGGGCTCCAGATACTGGTTTGGCGAGGAACTGATGGTGTTTCTAATACTGAAGTGATTAACTAACTGTAACAATAAGATCGTAACTTCTCCACTGTACTGGAGGGTCCAGTTTCGGACCACTCGGGATAAACGTCGTTATGGTGGCGAAGCCAGGCTTGACACAAACAGTTCGCGGTCTTGGCATTCAAAGGGGCCCGAAACTGGGTCCACCTCCACGATATAAAAAATCCGTGATCCTTCAATAATGCGGTCAAATCAAATCAAAGTCTTGAAAGGCGTAGAACAACACGTAAGCTGGGGCTAGCCAGATTGCACGAATGCATAAGGAAACTGCTGGAGGAAGTAAACCAACCGAATTAATAGAGATGTGAACCATTCGATGGAGCTTTGCAAGTTTAAAGCTGGCCGGGTTCTCCCCGGAGCTCCTCTCTCCTCGAAGAGTCTCTCCACAGAGACATTTTCTCCTTGAAGATTATCTCTCCTCGGCTGTTCTCTCCATGGAGAGAGTCTCTCCTTAAAGAATCTCTCCGCAGAGCGCTTCTCTCCACGGAGAACTCTCTCCACAGAGAGGATCTCTCCACGAAGACATTCTCTCCTCAGAGAAGTCTGTCCACGGAGAGAGTCTCTCCACGAAGAATCTCTCCACGGACCCCCTCCCTCCTTGGTGATCTATCAATCCGTGCATAATAGTACTCTGCTTGGCCACATCCTGCAGTTTAAATGCTGTAGTGGTGTAGTTTCCAATGTCAGCCAGCACAATCCCAAGGTTCTGACTCTGTCCCTTAGCTGCGAATCTTGCTCTTGGGCGTGGGACGGTGAAGACTGTTGCGGGATTGGAGCCAGTTGGCGATGAATCATGCGCGGCTTTAATGCGTTCCGACTTTCTCACACTCTTTGCACTTCCTGCTGCATCCTGGAAAGAGCTCAGGCTGTTGATGGCGAGGAATCCATGAGCGCCAGTCTCACTCCCGGTTGCTGTGTTCGCCTTGTTTAATGCTATAAGGGGACTCTTCTATTTGTCGCTAGTCTTCTTGGCCTCAGAAGTGGCTTGCGTTTATTGCTTCTCTAGCACCTCTACCTCTTCTCTAATTTGTAATTTGCGTGGTCTGCCTCTAGCATCCTTTAGTTTGTTTACAACTACTTTACTAGCTTCTAGGCGAGTTCATCTGCCTCTTAATTATATTAGCTTAGTCACACCTTGCGTTGTACAGCTTAGGTTGGCCTTCTTTGCAGCGTTTAGAGCCTTTTAGCTAGTCACGCGTTTCCCTTTAACTCTTGCCTTAGCTATTATCATTGTAATATATACTTAGAGAAGGGCTAAACTTAAAATAGTAGTGTTAGGAGATAGAGTTTAGTTGCTTTGTCTAGGTAGTTAGGAAACTTATAACACAGGGTTTTAAAGGTACTTTTATGCTGATAATAGAGAAAGCGATTAAAGTAGTAAAGGTGGACTATAATAAGGTATAAGTATTGTGCTAGGCTGTGAAGTATAGAGGACGAGCCCTTAAGATAACAAAGCTGAGATTATATCCCTAAGCGGCTGAAGTTGTTTTAAAAGCTAAGTAATATTTTTGCCTATAGCCTTTCTCTAGGATTTAGACTATGCTTAATAGTATACAATTATCTAATTAATTGTGATACGTTAGCAAATAATAAGTAATAGTGTTTAAAGGCTACTTATTTATATGCGAGGCTGTTGGTAAAGCTACTTAGTATAGTAGTAGGAAGCGGTTTAATGTATAAAGTCCTACTTAGGGATCTTTATTACCGCCTATAGTTGTTGTGTAATATAGAGGCTTATTAGTTAGCTGTTAAGGCTATAGTATTGTTAGTACTTATTTAGCCTAGGTGTTTTTGAATAAAAGACTATCGTCTAGGATCCGCTTAATGCACTAGTTAAATCTACTTCTTTTCTATAAACCAGCTGATTATTAATGTAATGTTCGTATTTCAAATACTTATAGAACTATACTTACTAGGAAGTATTTAAAAAGAAGAGGTTGGTATTTTTAGCCCAACTTTTATTATCCACTACTAATACGCGTAAGCTTGATTTATATCTTGTGAACTATAATATTATAATCGATATTAAGAGTGTTAAGAGTTTAGTATCCCTTTACCTGTAGTAGTAGGCTGTGATATCCGTTTATAATACTAAAGAAGATCTAGAGAACTTATAGGCTTAAAGACTATAAAATCGAGGTAAATATAACGCTGAATAATTATTAAGTGTACTAATCTATATTTAAGGTAAAAAAAGGAAATAGAATAATAGCTATAAGAGTGAAGCTGAATATATCTTGTTAAAGCTAGAGCAAGAAGAGGTATATGTTAAAGAGGTGATCTGTAAGGCTATACAAAAAACATTGCGAATATTAAGCGAGGATATTATTAGTCTTGATATAGTTGATATTAATATCTATATAGAGATGTTATCTAAATTAGTTAAAGTACTTGAAGCGTTGTAGAGTATAAAGTAAATTAACTTAGCTAGACTTCTAAAAAAAATGATAAGAAATGGTTATTAAAACGTATTACTCTCTCTACTAGTAAGTTTTCTTTTTTCTAACCTATTACCGCGCCTAGAAGATAAAGGAGGTACTAATAGAAGTACTGCTTTTAATAGCTAAGGTTTAATTTACTATTGCTAAGATGTTTTTAACCTATTATTCTCGCTTAAAGTATACCCTAATCTACCGCTTCTTTTTCGCTAGTTGGGGTATTGTAGATAATTCTAGTATTAGTTACTATAAACTTAGGATTTTAGAATTATTATCTAATAGGCTTTAGTTGTTAAATTATTATAAAAGGCCTAAAGACTTTATAAATAGTGTATTAGATCTTTATAAATAGTGCATTAGATCTTTATAAATAGTGTATTAGATCTTTATAAATAGTGTATTAGATCTTTATAAAAATTCTAATACTAGATTTAGTATCTAGTTATTAATTACTATTTAGATAATTTGTAGGAGCTTTAGGCTTTTATCTAGGATATTAAGGTAGAATTAATAGTATTTTTACCTATTTCTACCTTTATAAGTTCTAAAGTTAAACGCTTTAATCTCTTTTTACTAGTATATTATATTTTAACTAATAATTATTATTTAGTAGTTATATAGTCTAACTATTTAGTAATTATAAGATATTAAGTAAGTTAAAATTTTTTATAGAGTTCTTATTTTCTTCTAAAGAGTTTAAAAAGTATAGCTAGACTTTATAAAGCGATAATGTGGCTATAAGTATTTTGCCGATCTGTAATATTAAGTCTAATGTTTCCTTATTTTACTTTCTATGTTATAAATAAAAAAAGTATATAGTATATAGCTCTAAAATAGGATTTAGTATTTAGATTACTAAGCTAAGGTTAAAGCTTCTTAAATTATTTTGCTAAAAATGTAGATACTTTAAACCCTATAGCTAAATCTAGTTAAAGATAGGTTAAAGTGATTTTCTTATAGTTATTTTATTCTTTATTAACGCTTTAGATAAAAGGTTTATACTTTATATTACAAATAGTTATTACTTAAATATTTAGAAATATTAGGTTAGAAACAATTTTATTAATTATAGTCTTATTATAATCTTAAATTAAGTTTATAATTACCTTAAAATAGTTGTTGTTAAATAGAGATTACTTAGGTATTAGGTACTTGTTCTTAAAAAGTATCTAATAAAGGTTTTTATTAAACTCTTTAACTTTTTTAACAATCTTATTTAAATATTATTTTATAAAACTTTTATTTATTTTAAGATTAGTAGTATATTATATATCCTAGTATCCCTAATTATTAGGTAAGTTGGATGTAATGTTAGATAAGGATTGCTTTTGTTAGAGAGTTTTCTTTTCTACAAGTAAATGATATATATTATTAAAATATTTGTAGTTAAGTAGTATTTAATGTTGTACTATATCTGTCTCTTTTATAACTCTCTCTATTTATTCTATAATATCTAAAGTATTATAAAGAGTAAAGTCGCTAATAACTTTTAGGTTAGTAATCTTGCTGCTTAGGAATAAGGATTAATGTCTTTTATGTGATTGTTCTATTAGATTAGGATTATTTTCTCTAGTTTTCTTTCTTAAGTTTCCTTGTTGTTGTCGCTTCTTAGGGGGTTAGGCTAAAGAAAGACTCGCTGTCGCCTAGTTTAGCTTCTAATCTGTAGCTAGTTTTTGTTGATTAGATTATTTAAGGTTAGTAGCTTGCTTAGCTTTAGCCTCTTAAGATTGTTTTTGTATAGACGCTTTTTAAGTAGAGGATATAGTTAGTAGTATACAATTTTTAAATTAGAGATGTAAGGTTCTTTGCAACGTAGAGTTGTGTTTAATAACAAGTTCTTATGTATTGTTAGATTACTTGTTACTAGACGCGATTGTACGTTTGCCTTTTGTTGCTTGTTATTTATCTAAGATGTTAGCTCTTTTTTAATTGTTAAGGTTTTCTTAATACAGGAGGTTTCGATGCGGGTAGAAGGTTTGTGGTTCCTAGAATGTACTTTAAGGTGTTAGTATATGCTCTATTTAAGTAGACTATAATATATACCTTTATTTTCTAAGGATGGTATAGGTAGTCTTTACTAGGCGGCTGTAGGCTTTGAACGGGTAGCTATTTTGTTTAAGCTAAGATATTAAGCGTTTATGTCTTACTGCTAGGTTTTGTTGTGGAGTTATCTAGCGCAAAAGTGAGATGTATTATGACAAAATCTAACAACAACGCTAAGTCACTTAGATACTAGAACGTACAGGTCCTTACCCCTGCCACTTAGTCTTGGCAACTATCACCACATTTGCGCATGTGACTTTACTCTGTATTGGGCGATAGTAACGCGTTCATCACGTAGTGGAGAACTGCTAAAGCATAATTATTCTAATGATATCTAAGCTTACGCTATCTTAGCTAGACAGGCTCTGTTTCTAGGAATCTATTTACAGGTTAACATGCTTCTAGATCACCACCATCTACGCAGAAATGCCTGTGGGAATGGCCATAGAAGAGCAAGGAGAACGAAGCAGGCTTCAAGAAAGCACCTGTGACTATACCTCAGTCAGCATCTTAGGCTGCTGTCTGCCGTCTATGTCCCTTCTTTGGAATATCGCACGTACTTTTAGGGGAGAACCGGTTCTACTAGCAGGCATTGTACCCAGGCTCCAGCACAGCATGCTCGCATGAATGTACAGCTACAGTACCTAGTCATGGTCTCCAGGCAGTAACTGTGCCACACTGATGCAGTCTTCAGTCTCATCGAGTGCCTGGACATGCTGGCACGCATGAGCAACCTGTTATAGTGCCAAACGATGAGCCATCATCACAGGGGTACCGGGAGTCTTGCATCCATTCAGCTTGCGCAGAAGACGCAGTTGTTCCACCATCAGATCACGCTCTAAAGGCCCGCTAGCACCAGCTGCCTATACCATGCTCGTTGAGCATCATGCCCCGCTCACGTCGCAGTTCAGGCAGCAGAGAGGCGCTTGACGGAACCACATCCCGACTTTTCTTCTTCCGGTGAGCATGATTTGACCTGCACACAGTACAATGCGACCCGCTAGTAGTAGTGGTTTTTCACACGGCCCCACTCAGCTTGCCCCTGGATGTTACCAAGAGCTTGTGACTTCTTGAGCGTGGCTTTGACGACGACAGACGTCCTGCAATGTATGGCTCCGGCTCGTTTGGGAGGCGCATCGTCAAACAACTCGTCAGTCTAAGAGACGCTCCCTGGTAGCGGCTTTGACGACGACAGATGTCCTGCAATGTATGGTTCAGACTCGCTTGGAAGGCGCATCGTCAAACAACTCGTCAGTCTAAGAGAGTCTCTCTGGCAGTGGCGGCAGCGGGTCCTACTCCTTCGTGGTGATGTTTTGTTCACTCTCGCGATTCCTCGTCCAGTCATTGGTGACCATGTCTTATCTGTCTGGTGGCAGCATTTCCTTTGATCAGAATAGAACAGACTGACCTTGCCGTAAAGCTTGAGAAGCCTTTGTACCACTAAGTTAAAGTAGCTGAATATGCGAATTGAATTATTCAAGCCGTCTTGAGGACTGTAGATCAAAGGAAAGTATTGTTGGTATAGGGGGTCGAAAAGGTAAGCCACGGATGACCGGGGCCCGAAAATGGGACCAGTCAGTCTGTGACACCTCATATCTCTACGAGCTGATTGGGGCCCAATTTCAGACCCTCTTCATGCTGCTCAGGGATGAAATCAGGCACAATCAGAGAGGCTCAGGCTTGAATCAAGCATGATCACGCCGGCTCACGTCAGCTCAGAGCGAGCTCATGAGCCTGTTGGATTTGTTCAGGGTGGGGCCCAGTCTTGCTCAGCCGCTGCATGAGGGGGTCTGATTCAAGGGCCTCGTTGCATGAGCGGGTTCTCAGATTAGAGCTTTCGTCAAGGATTCTCAGATGGAAAGGTAGATAGTAAGAAAATATTAATACGTTTGTATTGAAAAGCTATATACGTTCTGCCGCCATTTTCGGCGGCATATGCCACCCTTTTCGTAGGGCGTTGTCGTCGGTAGTGAGTCTGTATAGTGCAGCAGGTGTCTATCTAGGAATATTGTAACCCGTCAGCTGCAGCCTGCTTCGCGCAGAACTGTATCTTTCCCCACCTAGCCTTGCCCACGGTCTTGCTCATGTCCGTGTTAGCTTCCATATCCTGAAAAGTGACCTCCTCGCTTCCCCATGTATGGGAGAGTATTGCGTAGGCAGGGGCATGGCTGGTGGGTTCGCGAAAGACGATCTCGCCATCCGGTTTGCGCTGCAGGAGGCGTATAAGGGCCATAGCTGAAGCGCGATCTCATGGCAAGCGCGACTCGTGCGACTCATTCGGCACGTCGGCGCGAGGTATTCGAGGGTCGAAAGTACGGAAGTCGACGTCGGAGGACGGATCGTGAGGAGGTGGTGCAGTGGTGGTCGTAGGAGTTGCCTACAAGGCCAGCCAGCGAAGGGACGCTCCTGTTGCTTGGATGTTATTGGAAGCCTCGCGGGCTGCACACCGAACCTTGGCGCGGACTGCTCGGTTTTGACCTATGCCAATCCACTTAAGGTCTTGCATAGTCCTTCTAAGGCGGTTAGAGAGCGAACTTGCTCTAGCGTAGAGCGTTCGCACCTGTTGGATAAGGGAGTCGAACAACGGAAGTGCAAAATTCGCAAACCACTGATATGCGTTACTATATCTGGATGGGGAACTGTGCTATCAGCCACCACAGACTTGGCTAGTCGTCCTCTGCTTGCTTTGTTCGATCCCGGATTTTCGGCCCCCAACTAGATAAAAAGAGACTACTAGTTTTGGGTCACCTATCCCATTCCGAAAGCTTAATTTCTCGTCCTGTCCGTACGTAAGTACGGCTGCGTCCGTATGTGCGTACGGCTGAATTAAGTTGCCTGAAACGGCTGGCTATCTGGCCCGTGCGTTAGGGCCTATGTGTACTTAACAGCCCTCTTTCTTTGTACAAAGAGAGAGGGCAGTAGTCAATTGCAAGAAGATTCTTGCCTGCTCACCCCTATTGCAGGCTGTAGTACAAAGAGAGAGGGCAGTAGTCAATTACAAGAAGATTCTTGCCTGCTCACCCCTATTGCAGGCTGTACGATTAGCGTACAGCTGCCCACCACCACCTACCGCGTGCGTAGCCATGCAGAGAAGGGACCCACTACCAGATGCGTAGCGCTACCATCTAGAGGAGTGAGGGTGAGCTAACCGACGCGTCCAATGTTTGGTTCATCGAACACGTCTGTGTGTAGGTTCGCAAGACTGTTCATCCTGCCACTGATTTGCTTCTAACGGCAGCAGTGGCCATCTCATTTTAGGCTAATGTCAATATTCTCCAGGAGAATCCGGTGCAAATTCTTCTGCGCCGGCACCCGACTGGATTTGGGCTGCAATGGGGCTTAGGGATTTTGCGCAATTTCAACTGGTTCGATTGGTGGCGGTGACAGCGATGCCTAAATTAGTCATCGCAGTTGTGGCTTACACAGCCCTTTTTGAAGGCTGTGCTGTGGGCTTCTCTACGGTTTCTACGTATTTCTGCTTTCGCTTCCACATCGTGTTCCTTGAGCATTAATGCTGCCCCCTTTAAATTCCATAGTGCGACGAAGGAAGGGATAACTCGCCATCACCTGATCTGCATGCAAACTGCCATATTCAACCTTTTGAAATGGCATCAGCTTTTGGGTTTTCTGTCGGTGACTTTATCAGTGCTGCCTGTGAGCGTCTCTGTGGAAACATTATTTTGGCATGGAGCTGACTGTTAATACCATCTCTAGTATTAATTAAAAGAGTTTCCGATGCTCTTAAAACGGCCGGCGGTGCTGCCGAGGATTACCAGCATGTTGTAATTGAGCTGGAGGGCCTTGATCGGGCACTGAAAGCTGTCGCCGCTCTTAACCCAAATGAGAGTAACGCTCTTCATGTCAATGCTATTCGAGGAATGGCATTGTCTTGTCAACTGCCACTCCGCCAATTCCTTAAAAGGCTGCAGAGCTATGAACGATCTTTAGGGCCGTTTGCCCCTAGAAACTCAGCATCGGGTGCCTTTCGGAAAGCAAAATGGGCAACATCCCAAGAAGAAAATATTCAGGTGCTTAGAGCTGTGATTGCCGCCAAAGTCACAAGTATTAACTTACTCTTGAATTTACAAATCTCGTAAGATGATGGAGGTAATGAGGTTGCTCGCAAGTCAGCTAACTTAAGGCTAGGGAGTCTCTTTCTAGGATTGAGCCCCAGGTGCGAAATGAACAGAACAATGTATTGTCCGAAATTCTTAAGGTACGAGAAGAACTGGCGAGTGTGGGAAAGAGCACTCAAGGTAAAGTGAAAGAACAAGCCCAGACCTTGGATGTCTTGCAAACCGAGGTCGAGAACGTTTCGGCCCAGATCCAAAGCTTCAGCGACAGTATAACGGCTTCCCAGACGTCTATTAAAACCTCCATCATTACCCTGAGAGGTGTCGGTGAGCAGATCGTCGACTTTGTGAACTCCTTCCCTCGAGAGATTCAACACCTCTTGCAGAGAATCTTTCGAACGAACGTCCAGATATACCATTTGCTCCTTCATTTCCAGAATAACTTGAGCCCGAACCCCTCGATAATGTCTGATTCCAATATCTTTTTCGAAGATGCACTTGGCCGCAATCGAAGACTACCATTTGAATGGTTTCAACACTGGGAGGTATAGTTTAATATCTTTCTACATCTATATCTGTTGACAACTTATACTAGACATTCGAGGGACTGCTTCGCGCAGAATTCCACGGCCTGCCCGGAGAATTCAAAGTAACATCAGGTGAATATCATCTTATCAACAGGACCAATCAGACTCAGGTCATTACAAAAGAGAACTGGAAAGAAACTGTTTTTCCGGGATCGTCACTCGTAATGTCCATGATTATCAAGGATGTCCTCATGCAACACCATCTATGTCCACGGCCGAGCTGTCGCAGGAACCTTGCATTCAGTTCGATGACGAATGGGCCCGCAATTGTGTGGTACGTTAAAATATTGCCTTTTTCTTTCCTAAAACGGACGATGGTAACATTTTCAAGCCCTGGGTGCGGTTTAACTTGCTATCTCTGCAAAGTGCCTGAAATAGTAGATGATTTCACCGTCCTAGAAAGTGAAGAGGTCCGAGTCGAACAACGACAAATTGATGAGGACTACCAGATATTTGGCGAGCGACCTGTACCTTCAGATATTATGGACACTGACGAAGCTATTTTCGATATACAGAGGGTAGCCCCACAAAAGTCAATCAAAACCAATATGTTGCCAACTCTTAGTGCGTGGGGACAAGTTGAGCTGGACGCCCTTCTATCCGGACGCAAGAGTACCGAAATAGAGTCGCAAAACAGCGAAGATAAAAGATCCAAGCCCACTCCACTGGATGCCTGGCTTGATCAAGTATCAATTCTTTCAGCGTCGGAGATGGGGATCTCCAGCGACGAATATGGTACCATCCACAACGAAGATAACGAAACAAATGCTCTCGAATGTTTTCGGCACATTCACATTGACCGGGCTTATGATAAACGCTCGGTCGCTTCCGATGAACCCCAAAATGCGCGTAATTTGCGCGAAGTTTCCTTCAACGCCCGTATATTTTACCGCAACATTCGCGATAAATACCCACAGATGCCAGAGTATTTAGCAAAGAGGTTAGCAAAAGCCAACGAGAGACGTGCTGAAAGACTGGGTTTATGCAGAACAAGCCTTGTGGATCTTTCTGATAGCACTTCTGAAAGCTCCGAGGATTCTATTGACGAATTCGCTCCTGCTATTCAGTCCAATTCCCGGGATACGTTATCCAGTCTTTTAATCAGGTCATTGAACAGCATAAAAGACGATATAGAGTCTCTAGGGCTAGAAACACGAAGACCTCAGAGCGAACCTAGGCAGCTACCCCAAGCTAGACTGAGTGCGATGGCCACCAATCAGTCTGGTTCCAAGGTAAAGTCTTATTGGTCGCAGACGTATCGTATCCCTGGTCCACATTCCTCAGCGTCAGGATCATCTACTCGCCATAGTTCTCTTCACGGATCGGACAGCCTTCAAGAATATAATCAATCGCACAAGTCTGTGCGGACCTTCTCCACCGGTAAATCCCCAGGCTCGAATAATACACACGATGTACATGAGCCACTACTTTCTCTACCCCCTCCTCCTGTGGAATTAGGCACCCAGAAATCGTTCACGTGTGACATTTGTAGTCACCAAGTAGAGGTGTTACGCCGAAGAGATTGGAAGTAGGTAACCCGCAGAGCCCGTCGTGGAATATACTGATTGGGCAGGAAACATGTATTTCAGGATTTAGAGCCATATCTGTGCACATTTGAAGATTGCCCAACTCCCGATAAGACCTACACAACCCGACGTGTACTGGTTTCTCATGAGATGAAGCATCACCGTAAGGTATCCCGAACATACGCTTGTACCACTTGCACCAGGACTTTTTCTAGAAAACGAGACGGTAGAAAACATATCCACTTTGATGACTGCGATCTTCATCAAAGCAAGCTTCCAAAATTATTTTTTGGTGGGAGATCCGAATGGCTCTTTCCAAGGCCTCAGATCAAAGGAATCTCGGTTAAGCATGAGTTGGTTGAAGAGTCGAGCTGTCCATTCTGTGGCCAAAATATTGCCGGGAGCAGAAACGCTCTTATGCAACATCTTGGCAGACACATGGAAGTGATCTCTTTCGCTGTCGTGTCCAAGCCTTACGAAGAATGGCAGTTCTATGAGGATAGCCTTTCTGCAAAATCTTCCGCCCCATCCATGGTCCTCAACCAGAACATATGCAAGGCCGTTACTGCTGGAGATTTTCGACTCTGCGAGAATCTGTTATCGGCAGGGGCGAATGTCAATGCAATAGAATCTGGAAAGTCGGCTTTGTATATCGCCTGTTCTGAGGGCCACTACGCAATCGCATGGCTCCTCCTCCACAAAGGCGCTAATCCCGAGCTCGTTGAAGGAGAGCGGGACCCAAATCTCCCCACTTATGCGGAACCGATAACAGCATTGGATGAAGCATGCTCAAAGGGATACACTGAGATTGTGTCTCTCCTTTCCAGAGTGGTAAAAAAGCCAACAACTCTCCAACGAGCGTTGATCATACTCGTCGAGAAAGGCAACATCACTGCATTTCAAGAACTCTTCTCTGCGTATCAGAGACTAGGGCTACTCGAAACCTTTTCAATCCTTCTCCGAGCTGTGGAGGTTGGCCAAGTGCAGATTGTTCAGTTCCTCTTCGCCAGAGGGGTAAAACCAGATTCTAGCAATGGCCACAATACTGCATTACTGACAGCAATTTCAAATAAGGAAAGAGATATTAATATGATACTAGCTCTTCTCGAGTTTTCCTTGTGTATCCCGGAGAAATGCTGGCGTGTGGCGGGAAATCTTGGAGATCGAGATATTATCGTGGCATTTTGCGAGAAGCAAAGTTCTCTAGCAAGGTTCAATAGCTCCATTTGCACCACTGCGGCACTAAACCACTGTCTTGCTGGTGCTGCATGCAAAGGGGATCTTGATATTATCAATATGCTCCTTGGTTATGGAGCCGAGATTCAGGACGAAGCAATCGATTGCGCATGTCGATCAGGGAAACCAGAAGTTACTCTGTTCTTACTAAAAAGGGGTGGTAAAGCCAACTCTTCACACATCAAGATAGCATCTGAGGGTGGATTCACTTCCATCGTGAAACATCTCGTCGACTTCGGGGCCAAACCAACCCTGGAAGCGCTGCTAGTCACCATTAGGGGTGGGCATCACAGCACCTTTGAGTTCCTCCATTCGAATTATCCGCATCTCCTCGGCCAGGACCAGGGCCGGGGTGGCACGGATGCCATGGAAACAGCCTACGAAAGTGGACACAGTGTTATTGTCATTCGGTTAATGGAGCTAGGAGTTCCACTGCCTGGGGCCCTTGCCAACAATTTGCGCGAGTCTCGGATGCGTCTAAAACGAAAAGCTCAATGGGTTGAATTCACTTCAGATGAAAACAGCACTTGGTCAAGAGGCGATACTGAATTGCACAGGGCTGCCACTCGAGGGCATCATGAAATTGTGCAACTTCTCCTAGACCAAGGATTCGATCCTAATATTGAGGGCAGTTATCAAGAAAATCCGCTACATCGAGCTTGTCAATACGGCAAGACAGAAGTTGTTCGAGTTCTCTTGAAGGCTGGTGCTAATGTGAATGGCACGAATGGTTCTAAACTTCGCAACCCCCTTGGATACTGCAAATCAACTGAAATCAGAGATATCCTTAAGGCAGGTGGTGCTATCTCCTGGGCATACGCAAATGGCGGCTGGGAGAAATTATAATAACCTGTAAACAGTCCGACTAAGGTTCTCGCATTTGAAACAAAAGATCTGGACTCATATGCTTATGTCCTGATTTAGTGAGAAAATGTTTTCGCGAAAGAAGCAACATCAGGTGTGGTTTTTCTAGCTTTGAGCTTGAATCCATTTCTCATGCTTTTCGAAATCGCCTAGAATCAATCGTCGGTGGCGGCACATTCATTCTCTGCGACACGTACTATAAGTCCCGACCGGAAAGTACCTTCAATCCAGCTTGAAGCGAAGTGCATGGGTACACGTCCTTGACTTGAGAAGATGAGAGCTTCAGCTTCCTCGGCAATCTTTCTTGAGCTTCCTCGCTTGGAAGTAGTGCAAAGGGTTCAAGAGAAGCCATAGCCAGATCAAACCCAGTGTCAATACATACCCCATATAATTTGTCTTTCTACATGGTTACCTTCACTATGCTCATATATGCGTCTACCGTCCGAGCATGGATACTAATTGTTTCCTTAGACCTTCCGGTTTGCGCCGCTTCTACTCCAGCAATAACCTTGCGGTTCAATTGGCATATATTTGCCCAGAACATAATACCGAGGTGCCCTCCCTACGTCAATGCAACATAGCGCTCGGTAACATCGCGAACTTTCCAGGTGTAGCAAAGATATCTCAGCATCGATCTCAATGAAATCTCATTGGTCGGCCTGATGACGGTACGGAGCAATGTATTAGGATTATGCTTCAAACAGGCTATGCATCATGCCTACGATGACAAGATGGAGTGTATGAATGTATTGAAAGCCGCGAAACTAGAATGGATTGACGTTTGATATTAGCGGTCCTGTTATGCCGCATGCATACTTACCTATGGAAGTCATGCATCTACGCCGCAATCCTGGGTACAAGTCAACGTAAGATCATGAACGCTAAGAGGGCACGAATTTCTAGTGAACCTTACTCAGAAGAAGGGTCGCGCTGTCATGGAAGCTCTTTGATTCCAGAACATTGCCGATATTATCCACGTGTTTTCACTCTTCCTGTCTATCTTTCTAGAGTGAACTCTACTATTCCTCTTTACCTGTTAGCGCTATGATGTCCGCAGTTTCTTAAATGTACGATCGACATCCGGTCATGATGAATGAATTTTAGCTAGGAATGGACCACTAATGCTAGGGCAGAACTATGGCGCCGAAGGTGCTCCTGCCTTTTGTATGAGGTCACAAGATTTTTACCACGGTTTGATGCCTGCCTAATCCGGAAACCGCTGCTCTCTACCAACCCAGAACTCGGGCGAGACATTCCACTTAAGAATGGAGAAACAAAGATTCGTTCGGAACTCACCGTATTAGTGGCTATCCAAGGTATATAATGTTAAGATTGTCTTGGGTAAGGCAAATCGCGAAAATACGACGGCGTTGCCTGGGCGCATTTGTACCAAGTCGACCTTAATTATATTGTATCGCCTTTTAAGGTATAGAGGGAAAGATTCATGACCATTTAGCCTGTTTTTAGAAGCCTCTTCACAGGGCAGGCAGCTAGTATCTGACTGCCTCATTTATCTTTGTAAAGCATAAGCTACGCAAGATAATTGACCATACGATAGACTTATTAAGTCTGTAGGTCGGAATGACTTTGCTATTATCCCACATTCCCTAATCTCCTTGCTTTCAATACGTTCACAGAGCTGTGCAGGAACAGTTATAACAAGATTAAATTGAGCCCCATTGGACAAAGGTCAGAGCCATTCTTCAGCTGATACCTGGTGGTGTTCGAGGTGGATATACTATTGATACTCCAGGGGTTCATGGCTTCGGAGGCTATACAAGCGCATCGTCAAACACCTGCGTAAGAATTATTCCGTCGACCGTGTGACCAGCTTTTTGCAGGTAGTATCGCAGGGTTAGAGCAGAAGGATGGTGGAGAGCATGGAGCATTCAATTAGGTAATGAGAGACGACCTAGGTATATTGAGGTGAGGTGGAAGTCCTCTGGAGCTCGAGAGGGCTCAGAGGTAGATATATAGTAGCTAAAATATCGCTAGTCCTAAACAGGAAAGGGGCGAGAGGTGAACTTGGTGAAGGACCAACATTCACCCTGAGCAAGGTCACGTGAGCCAGTTTCACGTGCGACAGGCGGCAAAAGGCCAGCATTCTATCAAGCACACAGAAGAACTTATAGGTAGATAAAACGTACGCGCGACACGTCTCGCCGAGACACATGCGGTAGGGTCCAACAGGGGAATGAAGCAAGACGGCCACCGCGCTAGCAATAAATCGACGGGTATTACACTGCAGAAATGGAAAATGCTGGAAGAATAGAGAACTCCGAGGCCTTTTGAATATCTGACTAGACGGGGTCTGAATGCACCTGCTCTTAGTAATAGTAATGTGAAAAATGCACTCACCTGCTGGTACCGCACGTTTAGATCTACCGGATCATATAGGGCATATGAGGTGTCAATCAGGTGAGAACTAAACTAACGTCCCTCACTGCCTAGCGAGAAACACTGTGTGCCGAGAAAAGTGAGGGGTACTTCGACTTTCAGCAACCGGTGAGGCCACGCGCACAATGAATATTGTTATATTTTAGTAGAAATAAGGCTCTATAGCTAGTTCTTAATGTCTGTGATCTATTCCTCAAGAAAAATTACGTTTGCATTGTCGTCTCTAAGCCTGCTTTGTACTCGTCTCCTTTTCTAGTGTAACAGACTCTCTTCCCTACAGTGCTCAGCTTTAGTCTTTGTTGCTCTGAACATTCATAGAATGACCTTGTCTAAGTCGTAGAACCTCTCTTATGGGTTAGCAAGTCGTTACTGGCCCTATGCGCGCTGCAGGGCACAATTCCATGCAGGGACACCTTGTCAATTGGTACTTGCTTAGCGAACCCTACGCTATAAGTGGCAATATCTGAGATCTAATCTCAAACTCTTCCTTCCCACACTAAAACAACTTCAACGCCTCCCAGACAAAGTCAGGGAGGCGTTGAAATTATTTTGTGGCGGGCGGATGCCAAGAGATTCCACCAGATCGGATCTCGTGAGATATCTGGGACCTAGCTTCCGGAATGCGGCGGATCGAAATAGGGCCCGCCGCGAGAGTCGAATTGGTACAACACAATTTCCCCTTCTTCTTATCCCCTACATCCCGGCAGATCTCTCATCACCCTTGGCCATGCAATCAGCCGCACCCTTGTCGAATGGGCACCCTTTTGGTAAAACGAGCTAAGTCACCCTGGTCCTTCGGCAACATGGACTGAACATGCTTATCCCCACGGTAAGGTCCCAAATACGACTACAAATGTAGCATTAATCTTGTAGTCTACTCTGACGCGCTTTTAGTCTATGCTTCTTCATAATCGGCATCTTCTGCTGACACTCGCTTAGCTGTCTTCTCCTCCTGCTCAGCATACGTCGCTTCATCATCGGACGTTATCCTCTCTGGCGGCGTCTCGGACCTCTTGCGCTTTTTTACTCCAAGAAGAATAGAGTGCCTGACAAGTGCTTTTTCCTGCTTAATCTTGTCTTCTGCAGTAGTCAGACAATTGCAAAGCTCCTGAGTAGACACAATGATATCTCGATTTTCGCCTGCGATTACATCTTGTGTGAGTTCTTCGCAAGCAAAGTCGGACAGTTGAATTTGTAAACCTGCATGATTTGTAGGCTGTCCTTCATCGTCGCGAAACGCCCGTCAAGAGATCAGCAACTGGGAGGAGAAATATTATCTCAGACCAAACATACCGCGTCAGCGATTACCTGAACTACTCTTAGCTCGTCCCCATCGCTAATATGGGCTAGATGCGTCCGCCACACTGACAACGTCGCCTTGCGCGAACCTTTCTTGCCGTATTCAATATCTAGACCCACAACGACCTGCACACTGGCATCCGAGTCCAGAAGATAGTCTTCGGCTAGCCGGCTCAGCCTCTTCTTTTTCTGCGAATACGCCACTTCTATTATGACGCCAGGGTATTGTGCATTATCGTGCCAGAAAGAGGCGTCCGGCTCGTGTTTTGACTTCGTGCTTGATGGAGATCCATCTACTGGAAAGTATATCTCGGTAGATCGGGCTGGCCGCACTTTTTGCGCAAAGAGGGCTGCCCTGTCTGATCCGCCGCGAATCGTTTTCAGCTGACTTCGAATCGCATCTTCGACGCCATCGATAAAGAGCTCATATACGCCAGTCGGCATCCGAACGACAAGCTGATGGCTCCCTCCGTAGTAATCATATCTGTTGCTGTTAACCGTTGCTCGTACTATTGTTTGAGCACACGCACCGTATCTTATCTTTGACGTATCCAAACAGCGGCTCGTCTCGCCTAAGTCGAAGCTCAATCTCGTCGTACTCTCCCCGGACAAGTCGAAATTCAGTCCACGAGTTTTGCTTCGTGGGCCTCCCGGCTTGAATATCCTTGAACAGCGCGATGACTCGGGGAGCCTGAGTGAAGGTTTTCTCGTCCGTTGGTGGAGGCGTTAGAGGTGGGTCGAGGAAGCTTGAGGGCGGCGTTGTATTGTCTTTCAGGGGTGTCCGTGAGGAGGACATAGAGGTGTATCATGCCTAATGTGGGCCCGCATTGCGATATTGAACAGTGGTGATCGCGAACACTGTTCGGGCATGAAGTTCGTGGCTCAGTTGACTCAGCAACCACGCCACGCTAACCCGCCAAGCATCAATGGGTATTGTGGCTCATACGTGTGGCTGCCATTCAGATGCAGAGTTGGCACCAATAATATTTTATTCAATACGAACCGATAAAAGATTACATCAGCAAATATTAGCAATATTTGTCCGTACGTAAGTACAGCTGCGTCCGTACACGCGTACGGCTGAATTAGGTTGCCTGAAACGTTGGCTATCTAGCCTGTGCGTTAGGGGCTATGTGTACTTAAAAGCCCTCTTTCTTTATATAAAAAAAAGGGCAGTAGTTAATAATAAAAAAATCTTTACTTACTTACCTCTTAGTACACTTTTTAAGTGTATATTTATTTAATTAAACCTAAGTTAACTAACACTAATTAGTTTATTAATAGACTATTTACTTGTCAGATTGAAGCACTGTTTCTGGGCTTCCTGAGATGAATGATG